CGGGTGAGGATTAAAAAAAAAAAAGGAAAAATGTCCTAGGGTGAGGATAAATAAATAAATACATACATACATAAACAAACATTTAAAAAAAAAGAAATCATTTGAGGGTCTGGGACAGATTAATTCAATCTACATTATTTCTAATGGGAAACAAATGCTTCAGTTTTCGAGCAGCCTTCAAAAACGAATTAAGTTCTAGAACCAAGGTTCCACTAATCCATATATATATACATATATATGTGTGTACATATATATACACACACACATATATCTATATCATTTTATGTACCTATATTTATAGAGACATCTGGAAGATTACACTATAAGCTGGTAATTGTGTTGGCCTCTGGGGAGAGAAGCTGAGGAACTGGAGGTCAAGGGTGGAAAGGAGATTTTTTCCCCCTGTATATTCTTTTGTATCATTTGTATTTTGTAACCATGTACATGTATTGTTTTGAAATAAAGAGAGATCATCTTGTGAAAGGGTATAGTACATGCTGGGTGCTTTAAGATATTTGTGGATGGATATACAGTGAACCTTATTCATTATGACCATTTACCTAGGATGTCCCAAGTGTATTTTTAATTTTTTTTTATATGAGCTGCAGCAAGTGTGGTATCATACTAAATTTTGACCATCCCAAGTGGATTATGAGTACATCCATGTTGATTAAAATAGCCTTTCTTCTTGTCTCTATATTTGAAATATTTCATGATAAAAAATATTTAAAAAGCTTACTGGGCCCAGCCAGAGTGGCTCAGTTGGTTGAGTGTTGTCCCGTGCACCAAAAGGTTATCAGTTCAATTTCAGTCGGGGCACATATCAAAGGCAATTGATTGATGTTTCTCTCTCAACGTTTTTCTCTCTCTCTCCCTTCCTTTCTCTAAGCATGTCCTCAAGTGAGGATAAATAAATTAATTAATTGCCCTGGTCAGTTTTGCTCACTGGTTAGAGCATCAGCCCATGGACCAAATAGTTTCAAGTTCAATTCCCTATCAAGGACACGTGCCTCAGTTATAGGTTTGTTCCCCAGCCCCAGTCAGGGTTGTGTGGGAGGCAAATCAATCGATGTATCTCTTTCACATTGATGTTTCCTCTCTCTCTCCCTCCCTCCCACTCTATCTACAAAAAAAGTCAATGGAAAAATATCCTCAGGTGAGGATTAAAACTTTTAAAAATTAATTAATTAAAAAAATAAAAAGCTTGCTGGGTAATGACCAGAGGGGGATATGAGAAGGGAGCTTGGGTGGGGGCAATCTGGTCATATTGTTTCTTGATGTAGTTAGGCACTGGTTACACAGGTGTCCTTGCTTTGTGATAACTCATCAAGCTGTGTGTGTATTTATGATCTCATTCATCTATGTTTCTTTTTGATAAAAAGTTTACTTAAAAAGCCCCTTTTCTGTTAAATTGAAATTTTTCATAATGATTTAGTAAAGGATTAGTAAAAAATAGAGTTTGATATGATTGTTCCTTTGCAAATGATCAGGGTCTTGAGAGTAACTGGAAACCACCCTAAAATTAGTAGCTTTACTTTAGTATGAATTTGCATTTCTTCATGTTTAGTGATGTCAGTCATCATCTCACTCAGCCTGCTTTACCCTTTACTTCTGGCTCTCTTAGCAATTTCATTGCATTCCATTTGTGTTTTGGGAGGTAAAGAGGTTGATTTCAGAATCAGGCAGATCTGTAGAGAGAGAGAAAAGGAGAGAAAGGAACCTGGAGAGAACGAGGGAGGGAGTAATGAGAACGGGGTTTACAGGCCAGGAGGTGTAGAAAGGCCCTGCCACATTCTAGCTCCAATATACCAGCAACTGAATGTGCCCTGAGCTTTCCTGTCCCCAGGACTTTGTTCGTACTGTTTTCTCAACCTAAAGTAGCCCCCTTCTTTCCCCTCAACCTGCTAATTTCCACTTTTCCTTCAGGGGAGAATTGTGCCTCCAATGCTAAACACCGGCCCAGAGATGCAGCAAATGCTGAATGAAACCACCTTAAAAACTGTTCAACAGCCCTGGCCGGTTTGGCTCAGCGGTTAAAGCTTTTGCCTGGGAACCAGAAAGTCCCGGGTTCAGTTTCCGCTAAAGGCACATACCTTGGTTGCAGTTTATCCCCAGCCCCAGTTGGGGTTGTGTGGGTGGCAACCACTCAATGTGAGATCTCTCTCACATTGATGTTTCTCTCTCTCTCTTCCTCCCTCTCTCCCTCCTGCTCTATCTGAAGATAAATGCAAAAATGTCCTGGGGTGAAGATAAAAAAAAAAAGTGTTAAACAGTCCCTGTGCTGCTAAAACCCCTGTTGCTGGTTTCTCCAACCCACCTGGATTTAAATCCACAGGCCTACAAGGACCTGTATTATCTGGTATTGTTCACTGCTGCGTCCAGTGCCTAGAACACTGCTGGTCCATAATAAATGCAATAAATAAATGCAATAATAAATCAGTAAAAAATATTTGTGGAATTTTGAATGAATACTAGCTAATTATTTACTGTATGCTTATTTTGTACAAGGCACTGTCCTAAATGCTTCACATATACTAAGTTACTAAATTCTCACAACTATGAAGTGCTATTATTATCATTTTGCAGCGTGGGTAGACTGAAGCATAGAATAGAGAGGCTAGGAAATTTGCCTAAATTCACACACTAACAAGTGACCAAGCTGAGATCTGAATCCAAAGTCTGACTGATGGGAAGTTTGCTCTAAGCTAGTTCCAGAACATAGCAGTTCATCAGCATCACACACACGCTTTTAAAAAGTAAATCTCAGAATCAGGTCCTGAGATTCTGATTCCGCAGGAGAGGAGCTAGGGTTGGTATCGGTTAGTAATAAAAATGATAACAACGTGCCAGCAGATCACAGAATCTTTTTTTTTTTTTTTACAATTGTTTAGTTTTTATTTCATATTCATAAACTTAACTCTGCAATCCAGCTAGACTTGGAAAGAGTAAAGAAAATATGGAACTCAACTAACTGCGGCAAGAGCATGAATAGCATAGAACATTCCAAGCAGATGGGGGTGAAGGGGTGGCTCTCCTGAGCTACAGAAGGAATGGTCTGGTAGTTAAGATAAAACACAAGTCAAATTTATGAGAGTTGTCCACAGTCAGCAATGGTGACTTTTTTGGTGGTCTTGCCATTCCTGGACCCAAAGCCCTCCATGGTTGTCACAATATCCATGCCGCCTTTCACCTGGCCGAAGTCCACGTGCTTGCCATCCAACCACCCAGTCTTGGCAGTGCGGATGAGACTGGGAACCGTTTGTGTTGGGTCCAGCGTTTGCCATGGACAAGATGCCAGGACCCGTGTGCTTCAGGATGAAATTCTCATCATCAAATTTCTCCCCGTGGATAGACTTGCCGCTAGTGCCACTGTGGCATGTGAAGTCACCACCCTGGCACATAAATCCCGGAATAATTCTGTGAAAGGAGGAACCTTTATAACCAAATCCTTTCTCCCCAGTGCTCAGAACACGAAAGTTTTCTGCCATCTTTGGAACTTTGTCTGCAAACAGCTCGAAGATGACGTGGCCCAAGGGATCGCCATCGACGGCGATGTCGAAGTACACGATGGGGTTCACCATGGCTAGGCTCGAGCGGCTCCGGTACAATGGTGTCTGCAAGGCCTGATCACCAAATCTGAGGCTCACTCCTTCCCCAACAGGTTACGTCAAGCCCGCCCCGCCCCGCCCCCTGGGTGGCGCGAAGGCCACTGGGAGTTGTAGTTCCCAGGAAGTTTGTCGGCGCCCGGAAGTGACGCTACGTCCCGCCTTCTTTTCCTGTCCGCGTTTCCCTGTTCCGCGGTGTGACTCGTAGGCTCGGCTGGTACGTATTTCTTGGGCCGCGTGTTTTGAGAAGGGGACTTGGGTCGAGGTACGTGCGGATACGGTGATGGGTGGCGGCCGGGAGGTGGCGGCTCGGACCCCTTCTCGTGGCGCTTTACTCTGGCTCTCCCGCAGGTCCGGCTGTGCCCGCCGCAGCCCCTCAACGTCGTCGCCATGTCGCGGTTTTTCACCACCGGTTCGGACAGCGAGTCCGAGTCGTCGCTGTCCGGGGAGGAGCTCGTCACCAAACCCGTCGGGGGTAACTACGGCAAACAGTGAGTTGGAGGGTCTGCGTCCTCCACTCGCGGAGTGCGGGGTTCGGCCTGGGAAGGCCGTGTGTGTGCGGGACGGAGGAGAAGGGAGGTGGGCGGCGCTGAGGTTCTCGAGGCGGCGAAAGCGAGTTCTGAGGATGTTGAGAGTTTAAGGGGCCGGACAGTGTTGGGAGAACAACCTCCACGTTTAGGATGCTGTGAACCGTATATACACCGGGTACAAGGGATAGAGCCCCATAGGTTTCCCACTGGCCTCCTTGTCCACAGCCTTTGTACAACCCCAGCCTCCTCTTCTCTGCTTGGCATCGGATGCCAGGAGACATAATTATTCTTACTGCCAAAAAATCCCGCGCACAAAATGCTCGCTTGACATCTGGGAGCTTGATTTCGGTGGCTCTGAAGCTGAGCCACCTGGCGCCGCCGGCAGGTTCTTAAACATGTGTTTTATTCCTGATATTTACCTCTACTTAAACATCCTTCCCCACTCTGCAAATTGAAATTCAGTTCACCCTTTGAAACAGTGGAATGTTGTTTCCCAAATGTCTGTCATCCACATGGCACCATCATCATTTTTGCCATATGCCTGTCTACTGTTGACGTTCATATATGTACACGGATACATACAAAGGCCTTGGCAGGGTACCTCAGTTGCTTAGAGCATTGTCCTGGTACACCGAGGTTGGGAGTTTGATCCCCAGTCAGGGCACAAATAAGAATCGACCAATGAGTGCATAAATAGGTGGAACAACAAATTGATGTTTCTCTCAAGTCAGTAAGTATATATATATATAGACATGTATAGAGATATGCATATGCACATACCTGTATACCCATATAAATGTGATTTCATAGCATTGCCACAAGTGGAAAACCAACATCACTTGCCATAAGGTAGAAAATAATAGATGTGCTCACTTCAGCAGCACACATACTAAAATTTGAACATAACAGAGATTAGCATGGCCCCCGCACAAGGATGACATGAAAAAAAAGAGAAAATAATTGGGAAAATTAATAAGATAGAAAAGAGAGAGATTGCCCTAGCTGGTTTGGCTCAGCGGTTAGAGCGTTGGCCCACGGACCAGAGTCCCAGGTTTGGTTCCACTAAGGGCAAGTACCTCGGTTGCAGTTTGTCCCCGCCCCAGTTGGGGTTGTGTGGGTGGCAGCCACTCTATTGAGATCTCCCTCACATCGATGTTTCTCTCTCTCTCTTCCTCCCTCTCTCTCTTTCCTGCTCTATCTGAATATAAATGCAAAAATGCCCTCAGGTGAGGATAAAAAAAAAGAAAGGAGAGCTATTGATGGCTGAGTGCTGTCTGGCCTGGTTTTTCATTATTAAAGAAAAATACTGGTGCCCAGCTAGTGTGGCTCAGTGGTTGAGCATCGGCCCATGGACCAAGAGGTCGCAGGTTCGATTCCCGGTCAGGACACATCCCCAGGTTGTGGGCCAAATCCCCAGTGGGGGGCATGCAGGAGGCGGCCAATTGATGTTCTCTCTCATCCATGTTTCTGTCTGTCTCTTTCCCTCTCCCTTGCTCTCTCTCTAAAAACCAATGAAGAAAAGAAAAAAGAAAAATACTGGTAATGCAGGTGTTAAAGCCACTGTGACTTTTTCTTTGTCCTGGCCTCTTACCTCCTGAGACACGTTGTTTTCTAGGACCTAGTTCAGGTACCACTTTCTTGGAACACTTTCCCATTCATGCTAGCCAAAGTACCCCTTTTCTCAGTACTTCTTAGTGACCATCTTCACATAATTAGTTTTGTGACATAGTAAACAGACACCTTTGTTTACTTTTGAGAGGATGGAGATCTTTGTATGCACTACAACAGTTGACAAAAGGCTTTACTTGAAGTAGGCTTAAAAGATTGAGTTGTAGCCCTGGCGAATGTGGCTCAGTTGCTTGGGTTTCGTCCCAGGCACTAAAAGGTTGCCGCTTCCATTCCCAGTCAGGGCGCTTGCCTGATTGTGGGCTCCATCCCCAGTAGCAGGTGTGCAGGAAGCGTCCAATCAATGTTAAGCTCTCAGCTCTCACATCAGTGTTTCTCCCTCTCCCTTCCTCTCTCTCTCAAAATCAGTTAAAAACAAACAAACAAAAAGATTGAGTTGTATATGATGAGTCTATGAAGAGGAAGAATCAAGCAGGATGAGTGTGGTACCAGTGGCCTGAGTTATTAAGTTCTACCTGTCCCATTTGAGAAGAGAAATAGAGATCGCTTGGAAAGACTGGAACTAGAAAGGGAGTTTAATGGTCTCTGTTCCTTCAGGCCATTGTTGCTGAGTGAAGATGAAGAAGATACCAAGAGAGTGGTTCGAAGTGCCAAGGACAAGAGGTGAGGCCATGGGGAGTCTGAGTGATGGGGAGCCTCTGGAGCAGTGGCAAGTTTGATGGTTGGTGATGGTGGGCGGGTCCAATATGCTATTGGGCTCCCAATCCAGGTTTGAGGAGTTGACCAACCTTATCCGGACCATCCGTAATGCCATGAAGATTCGGGATGTCACCAAGTGCCTGGAAGAATTTGAGCTCCTGGGAAAGGCATATGGGAAGGCTAAAAGCATTGTGGACAAGGAAGGTGTCCCCCGGTTCTATATCCGCATCCTGGCTGATCTGGAGGACTATCTTAATGAGGTGTGACTCCTTTGGCTAAGGGGGGGATCTCGAAGGGGATTATGGGCCTGGGACCTGCTTCTAACCCACTTCCAGGGATCATGTCTTCTGTGGGTGGTTTGCTTTATATAGTGTTTATTACTTCTTATTTGTGGTTTTATGCTTTTATTGGTGATACATGAAGGAGTTTTTAAAAATAACAGGTGTAATTAATTAATACAAATGGTATGCAGATATGAAGACTCAAAAATGGTGGTGAAGCCTGAAATTTAGGAAATATAATTTAGTCTTAGATTCTTATTCTTCCTTTTTTCTCTCTTCTTTCCTTTAGCTATGGGAAGATAAAGAAGGAAAGAAGAAGATGAATAAGAACAATGCCAAGGCCTTGAGCACCCTGCGCCAGAAGATCCGAAAATACAATAGAGATTTTGAGTCCCAGATTACAAATTATAAGCAGGTGGGGGGCTAGAGTCAGACTTTTTGAGCTGTGGGACAGTGACCTCTTGACAGAGAGAAAACATTTGCAAATAGAAAGTGTGACTGGAGAAAGAATCATGGCAAAACTTGGGTGGAGGAGGGGTAGGGTGGGGTGATGGTTGGGAGGCATCCTTAATTATTCTCTCATTTCCCTCTTTCAAGAACCCTGAACAGTCTGCAGATGAAGATGCTGAGAAGAATGAGGAGGATTCAGAAGGTGAGAGAGGATACCCTTACTGCAAATGGTTAGGAAGTCTAAAGTTAGTGGTTCCCTTGGCCTGTTTCCTTGGTTGTCCTTAACCTTGCTCTTCCCACCAGGCTCTTCAGATGAGGATGAGGATGGAGTCAGTGCTGCAACTTTCTTGAAGAAGAAATCAGAAACTCCTTCTGGGGAGAGTCGCAAGTTCCTCAAAAAGATGGAGGTGAGAGCCAGGGTTACAGTGAGGGTGATTTGCCTCCCGTGGGCCATTCTTGGGTCTCTGGGGAGAAGAGAAGACAGAACCCGAGGTTTAGGAGGGGTTGGGTTTAGTGGAGTCTGGTTTGAGGACAGGCTTCCTCTTGGATTAGAACTAGAATATGGAAAACTAGATTCTGAGGCAAGTCACCACTTCTCTCTTGTCTTGGTCCAGTGCAGCACTTACTGTCCTGATTCCATGAATAACCATGTTCTGCTCCTGTAAATCCCTAAACGTGTTAGGGGAGCAGTGAGATGAGTCAGTCTCCCCATCTTCTTCCTACTGGTCCTTTTTTTCCCCTCTAAGGATGAAGATGAGGATTCAGAAGATTCAGAAGAGGATGAAGAGTGGGACACAGGTTCAACATCTTCTGACTCAGACTCAGAGGAGGAAGAAGGGAAACAGACCGTGCTGGCCTCAAGATTCCTTAAAAAGTAAGCAATGTCATGGTACCTTGTTACAGTGGTAAGAGTAGGGCACATTTACTCTTCTTGAAGGTTGTTGCTTCTTCCATGGAGTCTTTTCAGGTTGTAGATGCCAACTGCTCCCTTTTCACAAAGGGGTCTCAGAGTCAGGTATATTGGTTAAGCTCACAAAGCTAATGTGTCCTGAGGATGGAATTTGAAGGCTTCAGAGTCCAAATATTTAACTATGACATTCTTCACTGCATGTGGACTGAGTATAAATCTCACTTTGGCACTGATTAGCTGTGTGATACTGGACAAGCTATTGAATCTTTCCTGTCTCTGAGGATAGCTGCAGTAACAGGGAGGTGATATAGGTAAATGACATGGGAGCTTCAGTGATGGTTGCTACTCTTGTCATTATTCCAGAGGACTTAGTGTATAACATAGAAATTCTTAGTATATAGCAAGCCTTCCTGAATTTTACTGGGATAGTCACAGGAATAGGAAAGGATTCTGATTTGGATTCTGGTCCCGGCCATTAGTCTTTTATTTTTTTTTATTTTATTTTTTTTTTTTATCCTCACTCGAGGATATTTTTCCATTTTTTGTACAGATAGAGTGGGAGGGAGAGAGAGGAAGGGAGACACAGACAGAAACATCGACGTGAAGGGACACATCGAGTGGCTGCCACCCGCACGACCAACCAGGGCCGGGGACAAACTGCAACCGAAGTATGTGCCCTTAGCGGGAACCGAACCTGGGTCTCTCCAGACCGCAGGCCAACGCTCTAACCGCTGAGCCAAACTGGCCAGGGCCATTAGTCTTTTAATAGCTATAGTACTTTGGGTAAGTTCCTTAACCTTCTCAGGTCCAGTTTGTTCCTTTGAAGTCAAGGTAGTGCCTGCCTCTGTGTACGCACGTGAGTCAGATATCAAGTCCTGGTAAGCACTGCTCCTGTAATAGGCAGAACTATTGCTGCCTTTTGGATTGCTCTTCTGCTTTTAAAAGTTGGAGTTATGCTGCTTCAGGGGGTATGGAGTTCCCTAACACTAGAGGGGTCTAGACATAGGCATTTTGTTGAGAAGCTTTTTTTCACTGTGTGCTCCAGTCTGGTCAAGTCTGGGAAGCATTGCATATCTGATCTCTTTTTACGCCGAACACTTAACACCATACGTGTGGGGCGTTTTCTCACACTACCCAGTTCTTCAGCTCTCTGGACACCACTAGATGTGTTCGACAACTCAGTTTAGTTCTGACACTACCCAGAATTAGTATAGACCCCACAAGTTAAGGGCTCAGTCCCATGAGACTTCCCCCACCTCAGACACCAGTTGCAAGTCTCAAGTTTGGCACCTATACTTCCGACTGACCAACTATAAATTCAGAATTTCCACAATCCCTTCTAAACAGAAAAAAGGATGCTGTTCCGAAGTCAGTCTTTACAGAGCAGTTAGTATCAGAGAATAACTATGTTTCTTGTGGATTCTCTGGAAGACCTGAAGGGTTAGCTGTGGAGCAGTGTGACAAGTTATTTCTGTGTCTGCAGGGGCCTGGTTACCTCTGCCTTATTAGACAAGGCCAGATTGTTCCCTTCATAGGAGTTTCTTGGTGCAATATGGTGACATATCTTAGTAAGTAGTCTGGCACATTTAATGCTTAGTAGTCCTGTTTTGGTTATGGCTAACTTGAGGTCATTCTCATAGAGCGTAACTTGGATGCAGGACTCAGAGGAAGAAAGGAAGTTCGTGGGAGGAAGAAGCATCGGCGTGGAGGGCGGGGGGTGCTGATCTTTCATCTTCTCCCGTCTCCCGGCAGGGCCCCGGCCACTGAGGAGGACAAGAAGGCCGCTGAGAAGAAACGGGAGGACAAAGCCAAGAAGAAGCACGATAGGAAATCTAAGCGCCTGGATGAGGAGGAGGAGGACAATGAAGGCGGGGAGTGGGAAAGGGTCCGAGGTGGCGTGCCCCTCGTTAAGGTGAGGATTTTAGAACTAAAATGAGTTGGAAAACAGTTTGGGAGAGCATATAGGCACAGTCTTTTTGAGTTGGAAGAAAAGTTAAGGCAAGA